AGACTTCAGAAACTGGCTTCATGTTGTCAGACCTTCTTGGGTCTCCTAAGAGGTTAATCTGGTGAAGGGCAAGCAAATACACGGGTTTATATTTTCCATTTGTCCTCCTCAGTAAAAACCAGAGAGAGGCAGAAGACTTTTCTGAACATACAACACTATAATATTCCTATACAGATGCAGCAGTACCTGAGACGGTGGTCTTTCTTCCTCAGCACTGGGGCTTTTATAACTCTTACAACAGGAAGCATGAGCTCATACAAGCACTGGATCTACTGTGGAAAATGTAGTTCGACCCACATATATATACAGTATGTCACATTTTTGCAAATATTATATCTTTTCATGGGACAACACTGAAGAAAAGACACTTTGCTGCAATGTAAAGTAGTCAGTCAGTGTACAGCTTGTATAATCATGTAAATTTACTGTCCCCTCAAAATAGCTCAATAAACAGCCATTAATGTTTAAACGGCTGGCAAAAGTGACCCCAAAGTGAACAATACTCGCTTCTGTGACATACTGTATATGACATGATGTTTTGCATCGACATATGGTCCCTGAAGTTTGTCTTCTTTGACATAAATAAAGACATTTCCACCATAAACTGATGCAGAAAAGGTGAAGCTGGTGCATAAAGAAATGCATTAGAATGCAGAGACTGAGGGAGACGTAATTGCAGTGTTAATGCTAAGCTAAGCTAACTGGCTGCTGTTTATCTCATTCTCTGCAGGCGAGGAAAGAAGTGAATTTTCCGAACTGTCCCTTTAACAAAAACATTTTGATGATCTTCACCCTTCATTGTGGTCAAACTAAAGACAAGGCTGCTTAAATGAGTTCCTGCAAAACACAACGTGGTGATTTTGCATCTCCTTGCGTTATTTTGCCGCATTCTGTGGCTGTTTTGTGTCTCTAGTGATCATTTTGCATCTCTTTATGGTTAATTTGAATTTGTGTGTTTTTTTGGGGGGTTTTTTTTGTCATAATTTTGTCATAAAGTTGTTTTTTTTGCCATCGTTTGGTTTCCTTTTGTGGCAGTTTTGTGTCTCTGTGGTATTTTGTGTCTGTCATCATTTACATCTGTTTGCGGTTGCTTTGTGTCTCTGACAATTTTGCATTTCATTGTGGTCGTTTTGTGGTTCATTGTGATCTTTTTGCATCTTAGTGAGGCTGTTTTGTTCTCTGATCTTTTTGCATCTCTTTGTGGTAATGTTGCATTAGTTTGTGAACATTTTTTCTCCTTTGTGGTTGTTTTGTGTCTCTTTGCGGCTGCTTTGTGTCTCTTAGTGATCATTTTGCGTCTATTTATGGTTAATTTGAATTTCTGTGTTTTTTTGTGATCATTGATTGATTGATTGAAATATTTATTTCGAATATGTAAAGATAAGTACCAAGTAAACAAAGAATTAATATTTAATATATATAAATATACACTTATATATACATACAAATCCATACACATACATATTAAATGAAATCATGTAGCAAAAGAAATATTGCACAATTCTGGACTAGGTCTATATATTTGAAAAGAGTGAGAAGAAGTATGTAAACACTTATTTAATCTCACCCCTTTTCCATAAATTATGGATTGATAATTTCTAGTTTCTTACATATATATGAGATGTACAGTTTCTGTTTATACATAAGATACAATGAAAATATGTACAATTTTGATACTACCAATTTACATATATTTATACACACATACACGCACACACACACATATATATATATACACACACACACACACACACACATACACACATATGGACACATACACATCACAGATATAAACACACAAACATACATACATGTACATACATATACAGTCATACTAAAGAAAATGGAACGAGACTGATAAGTAATTCATAGTTACCAATAAGTAAAAACATAAACATTAACTCCTGTAAACACGTGGCGTCTCTTTGAGACATTTTTGCATTTCATTGTGGTCATTTTGTGTCCATTAGTGATTATTTGTGAACCATCTGCACAAAATCAGTTGCATTGAGCTGTAACCGAGATACCGCCTGAATTACATTAACACATGATGAAACATTGATTTTGGGTTTATTACTGAGATCGGTCCATTTAGTTGCTTTCTACATGTAGGTAACACACACTCCAGATCGCTGTCCAATACCATCAGGCACAATGGGACTGATTTCGTGCAGATGGGTCACATTTGTGTTTCATTGTGGGTATTTTGCATCTCATTGTGGCTCTTTTGCTCTCTGTAATCTTTTTGCATCTCTTTGTGATCAATTTGCATTAGTTTGTGAACATTTTGCCTCCTTTGTGGTTGTTTTGTGTTTGACATAATTTGTGTAGTTGTTTTGTTGGTCATTTGTGGTCTTATT